GGCGGCCAGAAGAACTAGAGCGGTTCCGTGACATCACTATGGTAAAAGTAATAAAGATCCCATCAGCGGGGCCATGAATATGAATAGTGGGCAATCACTATTCAACGAAGTAACAAAAAGCATAAATTTTACGACTGACTGAACAAAACCAGACCGCCATTTATTGTGTTGTCAATCCGCTTTAACGAGATTCTCAGCAATCAGCCGGACTGTAGTTACCTTACGCCAGGACTGTGTTCGTCCCTGAATAACGTCAATTTTCACCAAGTATTGATAACCCGATCTGTTAAAAAAAACTACGCCGATATTATCCGCCTAATCAAGGTGGACAAGACAAGTAAAGTAAGTACTATTAAACAGCTGCACTATGAACGGAAATAATCCAGGACTCTAGCAGTCAAATAGTGCCGCAAAAGATTCCCGCAAATTTGTACACATTAAGCAAATTCGGGTCGTAGTTCTGGAGATACCATTTCAAAGCGGATTACACTGTCAGTTCGGTGATACTTGTGAGGACACATTACTCATCATGGTTTAGTAAACATGGGAGTGAAACTACCTTGGTTCGGATGCCAAATACGGAGCACAAGGTAAACTGGTATATCTGAAGGTAGGCACTTTTGGTGAACTTGAATAGTTGCTGATATCTTTTAACGCCACAATAGGAGTTCCGCATTAAAAGACATTCGTTCGAAAACGACTATTGGTAACACGACATCAGTGAGACTAAACCAGATTCCTCTGTTAACTGTACACACACAAGCTACTCATAAGTAGCCAGGAAAAAGTGGTAAACCGGCCACCACGTGACCCACGGTTTCCAGAGTGGACAGCCTCATATGTAAATAAAGTGCACAAAACGAAACGTGTGGAGGGTTGCCAGCTCATCTATTCACGGAGAGGCCCCACTTTCTAAAACCACCTGGCATATCTTCAGCTTTGCTAGTCTGTTCCTGATAGGCCCAGCGAATATTTCGGAGGCGATCGTCAAACAAGGCGTTTCGTGCATCTACGTTTCTCATTTGCAAAACAGTAGGGATCTCAAGACAGCAGTATATCCTTTGCCCTTTAGAGACAAACTGATACGTGACTTACGCAATAGGTACCAAAGTTTGGTGAAGTTGTGATGGTCTTCCCGATTCGAGAATTGATTTGGTCTCTTGCCATTCCATCAGGACTTCCCAAGTAAACAAATTTGTCACCTACATCAACCTACTGGTCTGAAATCATGAGTTTGGGATTCGGTCCCATCCAATCCTGCAGCAGCGTTTAACGTCTGGCAGTTATAAAGCACACATCTGACCGTGTAGCAGATTCACTTGGGTTACTTGAAATTAATTGCCTCTGAAGGGCGTGAAACAAGCGGATCGATACCGTGACACGGTGCCCGAGGGGCAGTACGTGGAATAAACAAACTCGTCCAAAGTGGTTTGAAGTAAATGACCGTATCACCGTCCTGTATGCATGCCTCACCGAAACCACATATCGACAGAGAGAAATCAGCTTCAGTGAGGTATGTCTATTACCCAATGTGACAGTGCAGGCACTAACAGCTGTAACGTAGGTGGGATTTTCGAGTTTAGTAAGGTCTTATTTTAGTTAAGTGACTGACAGTCCAGTGGATCGGGGTGGAACAATGTGTTGACCGGTGAAAACTTGAAAATGGTGTTCTTTTTGTTCCAAATGAACAGAGCCGAACGGTGATAGAACTTCTTGAAACAATACCATCATTGGACAACAGCTGCATAAGAAATACAAATACGATCACTTGCATACCAATTTGTTTTTCTTGAGATTCATCTGAATCTCTCGAGAGTTTTTAGCAACCTTAGGGGTATTTTCCTAAAGAAATTTCGCTTGATGCTGATTGGAATGCAGCTCTTGGGATGAGTATGCAGATACGCCAAGATCGTGTTGAAATTCCCTGATAAACAGCTCACCTGGTCCCCGGAGAGCTACAGGTCAAAGCAGGTAGATGTGTCATCTGTACCAAACCCGACTCAAAGGGCATCTTCCCTAAATGTCACCCACGTACCGATCATAACGACATGGGCAACCTGTGGCATCCCAAACTGTTTTCGAGCCTTGACATAAAAACACAGGCAGAAGTTGGGCCGAACGGACTTCCGTTATCCATACAACTGGCCGTGGAGTAAAAAATGACGTGCGAGGCACAGAAATCCATCGACGGTATTGAAGTCAAGAATTATGAAAATTTTCTACCAGCTGTATCCGAGAAATAATCAGTGGACAGAGCGCACCTGAGTAGGCTAAACCCGGCAGCGTGACGCACTAGACTGTTAGCGATACCAGGATTGGGCATAGCTAAGTTACTAAACCCTGTTCAGTGAATTTGTTTATCGTTGACGTGCTGAGCACAACATGCGCCGATTCGAGGACGCTTTATCCGGTTCGCAACCTTAAAATAGGTGTATAATGACAGAGGCACCAATTTTTCGGACAGAAGCGGAGTTGAGACAGTTCATGAAGAATTTGGACTGCGACAAAGTGAAGGACGACATGTCGATTGGCGTTTTAATCCTCCTCACGCTAGTCACACAGGCAGCATCCAGGACAGGATGATATAGTCAAATCGACTTGTTCTGAATGCAGTTTCTCGGGTCCCAATACTGGAAGATCCCGATAGCACTGATGTACTGACGTCGAACCACCTATTACGATCACGAGAACCATCTGTCCTTATTGGTGAATATGACACCGATACAGTCGGCAGTGAAGACATTCAGCTGATGGTGGACGACTTTTAGCGCCGCTGGCTGAGAAACTACATTCCGCTAGAGTCAATTGTACGATTTCTACCTCTCATCGGCGCTAATTTTAGCGCCGCTGGCTGAGAAACTACATTTCGCTAGTCAATTGTACAATTTCTACCTCTCATCGGTGGGGATAGCTTTCCTTCAATCAAATCATTCCATTACCTGGACCCACTGTTTTCTGCGTCTACCTCATAGATTCGATACGCACCTGCAACCCCTCATGAACGTTTGACCCCTGATATACGGAGGCAATTGTGGCAAGCATTTCACGAAACTGCATGCCACCAGGTGTTGTGCGCATCCATTCGGTCCCAGTGCGAATCGACTTAGCTTTCTCTCGTGGTATGCTGTTTCAAACCATTTTTACAACCCATTAAGGCTTTCTTTAGACCTACACCAATTGATGAAGCAATTTAGACGGAAATCCACATATTTCGAGGTTTGTATCCCCTCCATATACGTATGTTTGTACATGTAGTACTAAATTTTATTGATAAATCTGAAGGCTTCGTGATTCTAGTGATTTGGCACCTTAAACAATTGGGATCTGTCGAACGGGTGAAGTATTCTAAAGCCAATAGATAGGCACTTGACAGCTAACGATCAGGGACAAGGAATATATGGATAACGGTGTATTGAATCATTTAGGAAGCATGCGTTATCAGCACAACGATTAAGGAGCACCATCCTAGTCCTGTTTCTGCGATGGCGGCACACTCCCCATACGTTGAGGATTTTGGCTCGGGTAGTGTATACCCAATTGAGCGGCATTCGCTTCCTGGGCACCAACCTCAGCTCGCCTGGATGAAGATGGTGGAGGTGGTGGGGGAGGCGGAGGTGGCATCGACGGGAATCGCGGAGCAGCTGATTTGCCCATCAATTGTTCCGTTACATTAGATGTTAGCGTTGGCGGTGGTGGAGGTGGGGGAGCACTGGTCAAACCCATGGTGCTCGGATGTGGAGGAGGCGGTGGCGGTAACGGTGGTGGTGGTGGTCCCCGAAGGAAAACATCTAAGAAACGAAGAATACAGGGCAAAAAAGTCACTTCTGTTTCATTCCCAAACACACAGCTCCGTCATTTTAGGATGCAATCTACAAATACTATCATGGCGTCCACCCGATGGGGCTAAATTAAGCAAGAGTTTGGCAGCACCTTAATTCGATTGAATAATACCTTAGGGGTAAAAATGGACACTCAGCACTATAAACGTTATCAAGGACTGCCCGGTAGAGCTCAAAATGAGGAAATTCTGGTCAGGAACCCTAGCCTTACTTTTCGCATCACCAGAGGTGGATATGGTCAGCTGTAATAAATCTACAAATATATTTAATAAAACAGCTACCTTGAAGGGAAATAATCGCTAAACGCACTTTTGTACAGAGAACCAAACTATAGACGACTCTCTGCATGCAGTTTATAGGGATCAGATAAATAGAACTAACACCGCAACTTGTAAAAAAATGTTTAACCTACCTCCTGGAGGTGGTGGTTCAGACACAGGCGGCGCTAACTGGACGGAGAACGAAGAACGTGATCCAGAGGCTTGTGTGGATGGTGGTGGCGGGGGTGGAGGAGCTAATGAAAACCCAGTCATGGATCCTTCCGTCGCTGGTGGTGGAGGCGGCGGTGGTTGTGAAAGCAGGAAACCTCCACTCAAACTCAAGGCTGCCTTTCCAAGCAAAGCGGCTGGTGGCAAGATCGGAGGAAGTGGTAACCCGGGAACCGGTGGCAGACTAATCGAGTCACTACTGTCAGCCCCTGAAACAGTGTTTGCAGCAGCTAAAGCAGCCGGTGACTTACCCCAGTTCACGGTTAACCGATGGCCACCCAAAATAAGACGTTCGTAGGACCGTTCGGCAGCTTTCTCAGCGGACTGGCGTGTAGTGAACTGAATGAACGCACAATGCTGTCTGGGATGAAGGTTGACCGAACGAATTTCACCGAACTGATAGAAATGATTGCGCAGATCACGTTCTGTCACTTCATCCGGTATACTACCAATATATAGAGTAGTGATCGTACGGTCCTCTGGGGGAACAAGCTTGGGCATAGCATCGTATTTGGACAGCAATTTGGCAGCAACCGGATCCTCGTGACCGTAATATCGGTCCTTTAGGTTCTGATCCGACAGTGGATCATCTGGATCGGTCGGCTTCTCATGGCGATATGGACACTCCTCACCTCGACGACATTCGCCTTTTACCCAGAAAGAACAAATGTGCGGCCGGTTGCGTCGATAATAGGGTGCTGTGCGGGCCAGTTTGAGCAATAGATCCGTTCCTCCTCCACCACTGGAGCTACTTGCTGCTGTTGTGTTTGACAGCGCCTTTCCAATTAACTGGTGGCCACCGTACGGCGCAGTCACATCCCCATCAGTTTCCAAATGTTGCTCAATCTGCTGGTGAAAGTATTCGCGGTTAACATCATTTTTTGGAATTTGTTGGGACATTCGTAAAGCCTTGTCGCGGACTTCCACCGGCAGACCATACTCCAAATCGAATATGCAGGTTTGACAAACATTCTTCACCTTGGCACAGCTTTGACAAACCTCAGTCTTCTTAAACCGTGCTTTTGGACCAGGGCACCAACGGAAAACGGTAAATGGACGGTCGCAAATCTTGCATTCTTTGCCATACCGTTCTCTCATCATACGGACGAACGGACTCGGACCCAAACATGTTTCGCACAAAATTGGGAAGGACTGTCACAAGATTAAAAAAGAAAATATAGTATAATATAGCACGAACTAATTTAAGTGCGATTAGTGTGACGAATCTGATGAAATACCTCAAAAAAGGAGAATGACGAACATATCTGTAAAAGGACAAATGCGGTAAAAAAGACAGCTAAACCGGGTAAACTGACCAATTTCTGAGAAGCATTGTATGAAAAATCTGGAGCACTTGATAACCCACAGTTTTTGGGAGCTATGAAAACAAGGAAACTGCAAATAGTCTCACTTCCACGAGGGATTTTTCTGTTTGACACATAAGACAGCTATGTGGTTGACAGGGGATCTATCGTTGTCCTAGGCCAGAACTATCGGTGATCACTAAATTAAAACAGACAGCAAGAATACCGATGTTACAGCAGCTACAGTGCTGGAAGCAACATAAGTTGTTCCTATCCAATCGAAGATTTTCAACGTCTATGGGCGACAGGCATGGACCACTCAATGTCTACTTGGATATACTCTGCCAAGGAAAGAACGTACGTTTCGAAGTGCAGTTTTTGTGAGTTGATGTTACAGCAGCTACAGTGCTGGAAGCAACACAAGCTGTTCCTATCCAACGTCTATGGGCGACAGGCATGGATCACTTAATGTCCACTTGGATATACTCTGTCAAGGAAAGAATGTACGTTTCAAAGTGCAGTTTTTGTGAGTTGAGGTACTGCCAAACTGGAAACACCGGTTTAATCATGGCCCGCTGGAGACCACGACTCGGTTAAAGGGACCCATAAACCGCTACGGCATGGGGATACATCAATTAGCACATGGTCATGAAAAACATACGAGAGGAACGCATTTGTTTATGTCTACTGTTTTCAACCTATCGACCGGTTCAGGTTTCTTTCCACTTTTGCTTACCAAAGAGTCAAGCCGTCGAATCCATATAAGAATAAGGCAATTACTGAAACCTATTGAATTACGTAGTCTATCGCTACATCCCCCAGTATAGCTCAATGGGTCGCCGAGGTACACAAACCGCCACACCACGATAAGGTCCAGTCTCTTCGTATGAGCACAATAGAAAGTCGGCTACAAAGTCTTTTTTTATATAGAACTGTTTCGCGACCAAGCTGAAGAAGTGATCTCTGACAGAAAAAACAGGATCCGATTAATCAAGTTAGTCCACCAGTTTTTGGCAGTGGATTCCTGAGGACAGCAATCCATCAATGGGATTATACTCGTTTTCCACATCAGCAATAACTTAATGTGAAGCCCCCTAGAGGTCACAACAGTCACTCATCGTGGCGCCTCGGTGTGATTCCCGTATTTCTTGTTTCGGTCACCTATTGTTCCACAAGATAATACCCCTATTTTTTAATAGGTGATNGTTCCTTCAGCTGTAGCACCATTTCGGTGCCCAACTGCCACGCCACCCGAAGGTTGCACGAGGGCTGGGATACTGCCAGGTCGCCCAAGCCTAGACAGGGGAAGTCGAGTGGCAGAGGTCGGGTTAGAACCACGAACCTTCCGGTCAGTTAATTTGCGCTCTAACCACTTGGGCCATCTCGCCCCCAATAAGGGATTACCTAAATTGGCGCGGTGTTTGAGATATCCGTTTTGTTGCCCGATCCAGGACGTTGCGCCGTAAAGTCACCAACACCATCATCATGAACAGCGTGACAGCGCCGTAACGAGGTTATGTTGTATATTACACATTTTTTTTGGCTCAGACGCAGTTTATAGATAAGGGTTAAAGCTTCTGTGACAATTGGCTCGTTATTCATTACTTTTTCAACTGGTAGTCATTTATTCCCTCGATATTTCTTTGAAAAAGAAAGACTTTCGAATTAGTGGTCAGCAGTCGCGTGACGTTAATGGGACTTGCCAAAGCGAACAAAATAATAAAAATCATATAAACGCTCCTGTCTCCATCAGGCGCCACAAGAGGAAGTCGATCCCATTTAAGTCTTTAGGATGATTCTTCCCGTACCCCGTCAGGGATATCCTCCTCAACTTGTATTCCGTGAATGCTAGCAACAAATACCAGTGTTTTTCGACCATGAGGCCGACCTTATGAGCTTCCATTAGAAGTATTCAGCGGATCACTGATTCGCCAAGTGCCAGCGAATGTCATTGAAATTTTTCACCTATACCGGTATTCGATGAATCCTCAAGTTCTGTGGAAAGCAGAAGTGGTCAACGTTCGCCCATCTAGTAGCAGCGGGTCAGACGAAGCAACCCGTCTGATTTACCCGAATCTATAGCATCATGCTCTAGGATCAAACGGTTGGACATCCACTCGTTTACAGATATTACTCACACAGCCTCATCGCATTCGTTACAATCTTGCAAATGTTGATATCGTCATCAAATGGAATTTAGGAGTCCTTTTGATTTACTGTCTGCCCTTCGCGCTGACCTACATAGAAGAAAATACATAGGGGCTTCCTGAAGATCAGGACCGGTTCTCAGGAAGAACAATTGCACTAACACGAGACGATTGAACATTATGTGAATCGATTTTTGAGATGATAGAAGATCTTCAAGTATGAAAGACCAATGTCCTGCACCCTCCTTATTGCCAAAAATGTGAGCTAGAATCGAGACGCAATAGCCAAACTGCTCGTTCAGAAGCGAGTGAGTAAAAATGGCGCTCTGGAGTCACAGGAGAGGGGGTAGATACGCTGTCGGATACAAGGACACGACGCAGCAAATAGCAGCCAACCTGCAAGGGGGGGGGGTAGATACGCTGTCGGATACAACGACACGACGCAGTAAATAGCAGCCAACCTGCAAACTGAACGGATGGTAGCTTCTGAACGACAGAACACCCGTGATAGGAATTATCGCCCATCAAACTTAACACGCATTCAAATGGCAATACATGCAGAAAGTTAGATCGGAAACGGACAAGTCCTCCGTGTACGAAGTGAAACACTGACATCAACAAAGGAATGAAGTGAAAGGTACCCGAGAACTTACCGAATCCTCCCAGTTCTGACGATTATAGGTGTTTGCACCCTTGGACGTAGCCATTGTGCGCAGTTCGCCTGTAAAAAAATAAAAGTGCCATGTTACACACAGAGGAACTGAAGTAATAACACCAAACAAGTCAAACTTTAGGAAATGCATCGGTGGGCGGCAACCACGTGCCGATGGTGCTAACCGGCGTCCGGTGCCTTGCCTGGATAAAACACCATCCAGGTAACGATACGTACAATATGTACGTTAGGAGAAAGACGCAATACCATACACGTGGTGGTTTGCAACACAATGGGAAAACCGTGGAAAGAACACCACTTTCTGGAATCATCCCTTGTTAACCAGGACGTTCAGATAGATTTTCACAGGTGACGGTTGGGAGACAAAGAGGAATAAAAGTAGACAGGAAGAAAACCAATAAGCAAACGGACAGCCTGTCAGCCAAATGCTCCCATCCGTTGTGGGGACGTGCTCCGATACCCAAACCTCACAAACAAGCACCAGCATGGCGACGGCTTAATGTTATGATGTTCTACATGCGGCGGATTTTCCAAAATGGACGATGGGGAGTAGTGCAGTTAGAGCGTGATGAGGCAACCGGCCTGTTGTTGGAGGGCACCAAGTGGCCAGACGACTTCGGCTATTTCGGAAGTTCGTACTGCATAAAAACAGCCTGCGATCAGCATACAGCTGAAGCAATCGTTCCCCATTGTCCGTACGTACCGAGTCCAGTCCATGTCGACCTCCCAATTGAGTCTCAGATGCACTGAGCCTGCCCACTTGCGCATTCATATCTCCGGCAACCACCACAATGTCTGAGCTTTTAGCTCGCCGCAGCAGAGCATTCAGGGCGTCGTAAAACCTGTCTTTGACGGCGTCAGAGCTACAGTCAGTTAGGGCATAGGCAGACACGATAAACAGACATCTATCAACTTGCCGCTTGTGAGACTCCTTCACAGACGTTGCCAGACGAACCGCACAGAGGCGACAATCAACAGGTATCCAGTCCTCAGTCAGCGCTTGTCTGCATTTGGGAAGTGCGGTCTGTCCTAGACAGCTGGGGAGGTAAGGTCATATTTCCCGTTATTAAAAGCGGGCTCCTAGTGAGTGCGGCAACTATTGTGTCTGTGGAAGCTATCTGGGTGATATAAGAGCTTTTTGGGATTTATTCTATCACGTTGATAGTCTAGTTTCTTGAGTGGGAAAAACCCCAAGGAAGAATACGAAGGGCACCGTTTGAAGATCGGCTATATTGCAGATGAACCAATGGAAGAAAGAGCGCTGCGGCTCATTTGGCTACAAAAGAGAGAAAACGAAATCTCGGTAAAATATTACAAGGGGTAGAATTGTTCGTTAGGGCCTGACCGTCCTAACAGTAGCCACAAGAGATGCGCTTGACCCCAGTCATAGCGATACTGTTGTCTTTGCTTGTGTTCCTTCGCCTTATGGTGACTCGTGAAACACTTGATCGAGAGCAGCAAAGATTTCGGTCTGGTAGGAGTTGCGTTGACCAAATCTTCACACTAGAACGAAGTCATATGTAGAATCGCCCACAATTTTAGTATTCCTGGGTTTCGAAGACGCATCTGTCTCGATTGCTTGCCCACGCTTGCCCATCACGGAATGCCCAGGATGTTTGTGAACATAAGTTCTTTGTATTGTCAGACTTCCGGACGTGTCAGAGTATACGGAGGACCCTCCAAAAGCTTCCCTACACAAAGTGGTGTCCGACAGGGATGCCCAATCTCTCCATTCATACTTAATTTGTTGATCGACGAAATAATGAGACAAACACTGGAGGGTTTTCTAAAACTTGGTGTTCAAATGGCCTCTAACGAAAGCCTTGTCGACCTGGAATATGCTGTCGATATCGCTCTCATCTTCGAAAAAAGGGGAAAACGCAGTTGCTTTTTGATTAACTGACTGGCTACATTCCGTACTTTTTTTATTGTGTGGCTGTGAGTCTTGGCCGGTTCAATTAGCCGTACTGGGTGTCTTCCCGTGTGCGACAGTCGTCTGAGAAATATACCTCGTGTGGGTTCGTGGCGGCGAATTCGTAACGAGGCCGTTAGGAAGCGGGCTTTCGGTTGTACAACGGGTTGTTCCATTGAAGAGTGTGTCCAGCATCAGAAGCTGCGTTGGTTAGACCATGTACTGCATATGCCAAACCATGGTTTGCCGTGCCCAATTCAGAATGGCAGAACCATAGAGGTGGCCGACCTTTGATTCGGCAGAGTGGTATGAGTGATTACGAAACGTTTGGGTGCTGTCGGTGCTACTCGCCTTCCAGGGTGGAGACTACGTGGTACCCACTGCTTCCGGTTGGAGACGCTGCAAGATTAGATAGCTAATCGATGTCGGCGGCGTTATTGTTGTCAGTTTCTATCCAGATTGCGAGAATGAGTGTTCGGAGGTGTAGACACTTCAGGATGATCGTGGTTAGCTAGCATTCAGTCCCTTTTCCGTCCAATTTTATCCTTTTCTGTACAGTAAGGCTTTCAAATAAATCATGGTTGTACAGCAGCAAGACATCAGTGTTGAACGCTGATATCATGCTGTCATTCATAATGACTGTAAAGTTCATGGTTGTGTTTAGGATGAAGTCCGGGTGCCCAAACCTAGGCAGCCGGATTATTAGGTTCCTTAGGCAAAGAATTTGGGTTGAAATACAGCAGTCGTTTTCCTGAGACCGCTTGAGTGGCCGCAATTCTGAGGAAAAGATTGCTAAACTTTTCCAACCCCCAACCTGGGCGGTTGGAAGACTGCTTTTGTCAGACCTTTATTTACTAGTCAGTTTGATATGAAAGGCTCTGTGGATGCTGAACGGGCGTCCTCTAGTATAGCTCAGTTGCTTATGGAGGCACTCAAACCGTCGCACCATTATAAGGTCCAGTCCGATGGAGCAAGTACCGGCTTTCATACTCCCAATTTCTCTGTTTTCGTTCCGGAAAGCGATCGAAGACTAAGAAAACAAGGAAAATCCTGGCTTCTGTGTGGTCCACGAACCGTGTCTCTGGGACGAACGCGGGTAAATGTGGTCGCCGATCATTTCTGGAAATCTCCTGTGAGCGAAACGTGTGTAGCCATCTCTTCCCATCATCGAAACTGTTAGTCCCAAAGTGGGCTTGTCCCATCATTGGTTCTAGTCGTTTGCATTAGGCACAGTGATTTGGCTATATGCTCGGTATATCAGATACTCAATTGCCTCATCACGCTCTAACTGCACTACTCCCCATCGTCCAGTTTG